TCTCTACTTTTCATACCTCAAATATGCTCATACGGTAGCAATATCGAGAAAAAGATTTTAAAAAATACTCGAATTGATTTCATGTCTACTTATGACTGAATAAAATAATGAGTTACCGATGAAAAATCATGAATCCCACCCAACTCGGGTCTACTCCATTCTCTCGAAATGAATATGATATCTTATAATAATTTTGGACGTGGTCATAACTATAGACATAGACGTGGTCGTGGCAATATCTATAGTCGTGGTCAAAATAATTATTGTTATAATCATAGTGGTCATAAGAATACAACTAAAAATGGATAAATTATGTAAAGAAACAAGAAAAAAATAAAAGTGGATCAAGTCGACATTCGAAAATAAATTTTATAGATTTGTATGAAAGGATATTGGTCATGTACTTATCGTATGCAAAACACCTAATTGAGCTTTAACAAGCCTCATTAAAAAAAAAAGAAAGTGATATACAAGCAAATTTTATATATTAAAATAATGATTGTGACAATGTTTCTTTTGAAGGTTTCAATAATTTGACACATTTAGATGTTGGTGATTTTTTCTTTTTTAAGATTCTAAAAGAAAAGATCATTAGATTAATGATAATCATTGAAATTACTATCTTGTTACCTTTTTTATTGATAAATAAAGAAGTTTTATGTTTTCTTATAATTTCTATTGCATCATGATAGTTATAATTTTTACTTATTAGTTTATTTGTTTTGTATTTATAAAGAATATATGGATACTACCAACTTTGTAATTGGTTTAAACATTATAAAGGAGAATCTATGCCTCGTGGATAATGCAACAACACATATTATACTTAAAAATAAAAGATATTTCTCCAATTTAATGACGGACAAGGCTAATGTTAACATTATATCTAGTAGTATCAATTTAATTGAAGGTTCTAAAAGAAAAAAATATATTATTACCTAGAGGAACAAATTTGATTATAAATGATGCATTATTCTCTCTTAAGTTCTATAAAAATTTGTTGAGTTTTAAAGATATTCGTCTAAATGGATATCATATTGAAACAATAAATATTAAAAATATTAAATACTTATATATTATAAAAATTTCATCGGGTAGAAAATATATATTAGAGAAATTACATGCTTTGTCTTTCGACATTTATTATATAAATATTCAAATGATTGAAACAAATGTCATAGTAAACCATAAGTTTTTAATTTTTTTTAATTTTGTGACATGATCGGTTGGGCCATCTTAGATTCATTATGATGTAAAAAATTATTAAAAATTCATATAGACATCCATTAAACAACCAGAAGATTCTTCAATCTAATAAGTTTTCATGTCCTACATATTCTCAAAGCAAACTTATTATTAAGCCATCACTAAATAAAATTGAAATTGACTCTCTAGCATTTTTAGAACACATTCAAGATGATATATGTGGATCAATTAATTCACTATATGGATCATTTAGATATTTTATGGTTTTAATAGATGCATCTATAAGACAACTAGAAACTTGACATTTTCGAGGTTGCTTGCTCAAATAATTTGATTACCAAGCACAACTTTTAGATTATACTATTAAAATAATTCATCTCGACAATGCTTGGTGAATTTAATGATTATTGCATGTCTATTGAAATAAAAGTTGAATAGCACGTTGCTCATGTTCATACTTAAAATGGTTTGGAAGAATCATTTATCAAAAGTCTTCAATTGATGGCTAGACCATTACTTATGAAAACAAAACTCCCTGTTTATGTTTAGGAACGTGTAATTTTACATGCACCAACACTTATTCGTATCGGGCTTATAAATTATTAGAAATTATCTCCCTTTCAATTGATTTTTTGTCATGAGTCTAATATTTCTCATCTAAGGATTTTTGGATGTGCTCGTATAAGTTTTAATTACTCCTTCACAATGAACTAAAATGATCCTTAGAGGAGATTGAGAATATATATTGGATATAAATCTTCTTCTATAATTAAATATCTTAAACCCTTAATAGGGGATGTTTTCGCAACTCAATTTACTCGATCGTCATTTTGATGAAATAATTTTTTTAATATTAGGGGAAAAGAATAAACAGGATAAGCGAGTTAGAAATATTGAAAAAAGAAATTTTATAGAATACTTTATTTTTATATCATCTTGATCCTTGTATAAAATAATATGAACTAAAAGTTCGAGAGGATAATTCATTTATAAAGTCTTGCAAACCAACTGCCATATGCATTATTTGATCGAAAGAGAGTAACTAAATCATATGTTCCTACCGAGAATGCTCTCGTTAGAATCGATGTTCAAGTAGGACAACCTATTAATGTTATAACAAATGAATCTAAAGTACGCCCGAAGCGTGAAAGACCATCGATTCTAAAGATAAAAATCTTTGAAAGAAAAAAATGAAATAATCAAGATGAAAATATAAAGAAGATAGATAAAATGATCCAAGATATTTTTGATAACGAAGCTTTCGAAGAAGCCCAAACGCTTGAGAAAAATCAAGAAATTTTGATAAATTATGTTAATAGAGTGAGAAAATAGGACAAAAAAGAAACATTGTCATTGATAACATTTTTGCATATAATGTTGTAATTGATATTTTGAATAAGGATCTTGAGCTTAAATCTATCGAAGAATGTTGACATAGAGATGATTGGCCTAAATAGAAAGAGGCAATCCAAGAAGAATTAAAATCTCTCATGAAATGAGCGAGTTTTGGACCCATAGTTAAAACTTCTAAAAATTTTAAACTAGTAGGATATAAATAGGTATTTGTGCGAAAAAAAAGATGAAATTATGAGATACAAAGCAAGACTTGTAGTACAAGGATTTTCACAAAGACTCGACATTGACTATGAGGAGACATATTCTCCTGTAATGGATGTAATTATATTTCATTATCTTATTAGCTTGAAAACACATGAAAAACTTTATATGCATTTAATAGATGTGATCACAACCTATTTATATGGTTCACTTGATAAGGATATCTATATGAAAGTCCTAGAAGGACTTAAAATGTCTAAAACGTATAATCTTGACGCATGTAGTATAATTGTCTTAGTGATTATTTATTAAAAGCATGTTATAAAAATAACTTAATTTATCCATGTGTCTTTATAAAGAAATTAAAAAAGGGGTATGTGATAATTACTCGTATATGTTAACGATTTAAATATAATTAGAACTCCTAAAAGAGATTCTAAGTGCATAAGTTATTTAAAAAGAGAATTTGATATGAAAGACCTTGGAAAAAAAAATTTCTCTCGCCTACAGTTCAAAACTCGAAGATGAAATTTTTATTCATCGATCAACATATATAGAAAAAAATTACAATGATTCTATATGGATAAGGCTCATCCATTGATCGCTCCAATTATAGTTCGTTCACTTGATGTCCAAAAGGATCCTTTTTGGCCTTGAGAAGATAACGAAGAACTTCTTTATCCTGAAGTACCATACCTTAGTATAATTAGTGCATTAATGCATGTTGCTAATAATACTCGACTTGATATAGCATTTTCTCGTAAATTTATTAGCAAAATATAATTCTACTCCAACACGGAGATACCGAAATGAAATTAAACATATGCTATGTTATCTTTGAGGAACAATTAATATGAGCTTATATTACTTCAATAAATCAAAAACATGATTAATTGGTTATATAGATATAGGTTATTTATCCGATCCACACAAAGTTTAATCATAAACTCGGTTATGTATTTACATATGGAGATACATCTATATTATGACATTCTATAAAGCAAACTATAGTTGTCATATCTTCAAACCATGTAGAAATACTAGTAATTCATGAGGCAAGTCAAGAGTGTATTTAGTTAAGATCAATGATTCATCATATTCAAGAGATATGGAGTTTATCCATTAGCAAGAAAGTTCTAATAATTTTGTATTGAAAGAAGGATACATTAAAGGTGATAAAACTAGACATATATCACAAAAATTATTTTTCATACATAATCTTCAACGGAGTGGTGATATTAAGGTTCAACAAATTTGATCAAGTGACAATTCAACAAATTTATTCACTAAAGCATTACCTATCACAACTTTTGAGAAGATGATTCATAAGATTGTAATGCATCGTCTTAGAGATCTTAAATAATGTTTTCAACAATGGAAGACCAATATGGAAATTAATATATACAAGAAATATTGTACTCTTTTTTCTTTACTAGGATTTTTTTTCTACTAGTTTTTTTCTAGTAAGGTTTTAACAAGACATGTTTCTTGGACAATGGACATTCAAGGAGAGAGTTATGAAATAATGAATGTCCATATGAATGTTCATATACTTTTCATATCCTCACTACTCATAATTCTTAATGTGATTCAATTCATCATTCAATATGAGAAATTGAAATGGTGATACAATTGATTCAACAATTTATATACTTTTAATTATTTATAGTCCCTTTTAATTCTCTTATCAATTTTCAAGCCTATAAATATGCTTGATTGTTCATTAGATTGTGTACTAGTTTTTTTAAGAGATTAAGAGAATAATTTGAAGTTCTTATCATTTGTATTTATTTTATTTTATAGTGAATTCATTTCTTATTATCTTTCTCTTCAATTCTCCTATTTTTTCTAAGAATTTATGGATAAAGAAGAGCAAGCAATGTTTTTTTTTTAATAGAAAATTTATGAAAAATGCTAACAGTTAAATATAAAATTTTAATTAAAAATTAAAAATTAGATTTTTTTTTTCGTTCAATAGGATATATTTTTGTAAATCCACCGACACAAGCATCAAAATGAAATATATTTTTTAAAATAATTGCGCATAGACCGATCCATCCGCAGGCAATAAACTAGTTTTGCGATGTAACTTGGATTTGTTGTCACTGCGCCCACCAGGAGGACTTAGACAACCTGACTTCTTAGGAGTTGCCATCAATACAGTACAACCACCACTAAAAAATCACTCCTTTCTTTCTGGAGGTTGCTTGTTTCAAACTTAAATCCAAGAATTCCTATCAATCATCTAAGTCATCTTGAGACAAATTCTGTGGTTCTACTAATTCTGAGTTAGACCAATCGTTTGTGGCAGCTGGTGCTTCTGGCTGAATGAAATCTAGATCTTGAGTTTGTTGTGGGTTTGGACTGGTTTCCAACATGGTTGCTCTTTTCTCACCTACTTCATTGAGAAACCGTTCGATCTCTCTAGAGTTTGAGTCACTTAGGAGCAAGATCCAATGCTGTTAGACCACACTCATTCAAGGCGTTTACATCCTGCGACTTCCCAGAATCTAAATTAATGTTGCATTTTAGCAGTAATTCTACAACATGTTCTTGAGAGAATGCATTAGTCGTTCGGTATGAATGATTTTTAATTGGGAGACATATAATGCATATCAACATATATAGAAAGATTGATAGAAGGAATTAGAGATGAAGCATGGATTGTAGATAAATATTATTGTTGTCATAAACTTGAATGAGTGAGCTTGCCTGATGCTGATTTCTAGATGTGCTATATGCAACACAGTGCTGCGTTCCTTATCCTTCCAATTGAATATTCTTTTCCCCCAATGATACGACTCTTCATGGCTGTCCTCTTGAAGCCTACCAAGAAACAGATCAAATGTTTCTAACATATCGTTTTTAAGTGCTATATGCAGAGCATTTTCGTTTCAAATAGTCACATCTTCAAGGGATTTTGGACAAATTAACAAAAAATTTGCCAAGAGATCAAGATTTCCCTTTTTTAACTACATAATGCTGAGGAGTTATGCCTTCCCTTCCTCTTTACATGAACAAGGTCTTTATTTGTGTCTAAGAGCAAAAACATAAACTAAAAGTGTGCCCTTCTTGTAGTGCAACGTGAATGGGGCTGAACCCATCTTGGTTTAACTTCCTAGCTAATCATTGCCTTAACCTCGTGATCTCCGTGGCATACTGGAGATGTCCTGCACATGCAGTAACATGTAACGAAGTATCAAAAAATGGAATGTCATCAATTTGAGCCAACATATGTGGATTTTGTTCAATCACGGCATACAAGCCATCTATATTTCCTGCTTGAGAAGGATCTATTAACTGGTCCATCTAACTAGAAAAGCTATAAAGATGTCTGAAAGGGGACAAACACACAGAAGTTTTGGATGACAGGGGTCACGTCGAAGAGACTGTAGAACAAGAAATTTGGCAAAGGATGTAGAGAGTATTCTTGATGAGGAGTTCCAACTTTTTATTATGCTACTTCAAGCGTGTTACAAATCCTCTCAAACCTGAAAAATATTTGAGCATACGAGTCGTTTATATGTACGGTTTACTAGCCCCATACCCATGCGGATAAATCTATTATATCTATATTTTAATATTTTAAATAATTTTAAAATATAAACATAAAATAAAAAATAATTAACACTCATTGTAAAAAAGAAAATTATATATATATAATTGAATTTAAATATATCTTAGGAATAATTTTTATTTTGATAAATAAAAAATACATGGTAACCATTAATTATGGAAAAAAATTATGTTGATTAAATAATAATTAATGAAAAAAAAAACACAATCCGGCAAAAAAACATTCTCGACCAATCTTGATTAAACAATACCACTCACATCACCCAATCTAACATGAGGGTTTTAAGTTATAAAGGCTTGCTACGGAACCATACTCCTTCTCGTAGTTCTTGTTTTATTAATCATTATCAAGACATTATATGACGAGTAGATGAATTCAATAAATAATAAAAACAAATAATGATAAGGCATTAAAAGATTTAGAAAAAGAAAAAACAAATTGAGTAACAATAACTAATAGATTAGGCACCAAAAGTGAGAAAAATGCATAATTGACAGAAGCAAAGGAAAAGGCAAAACTATAAATAAAATTGAAGACATACTTGGGACGAGAGCTCTAAAAAAAGAAGCCATAAAATTGTTGGAGAGAAACGAAATAAATAACAACCCCGTGCAAAAAAAGCACTCATCATTGTCTAAACCAAATAATCTACATAACGTATAAAAAGAGGAAAAATATTTTAAAGAGAAAAAAGGAAATCGGACTTAGGAGCAAAGTGGTAGGAAATACCGGCTTGATACTCTAATTCGTAACAAAAAAAATTTAAATGACATAGGATTAGCTAGATTTTGTAAAATGCATTTTAAAAAACTTATATGACAATGACCAAGCATGAAAAGAGCATTAGAAAAAGAAAAAAAAATGATAGAAAAACACTAAAAGATGCCGTCAACAATAAATTTGAGGAAAAATAATTTAATATAAAGACAACATCATACACACTTTTCATGAGCATTCAAACAATCTATACAGAGTAACATAGAAAAAATAAAGAAAATGAAAAGAAAAAGGGAAAAAAATATGAATATATACCTCTAAAGAGTGAACCAAAGACTTGCGAAGTAAAACAAATGAAAAAGCGAAGAAAGAAACTTAATACCTAGATTATATGTATCTTTTATTTGAAAATGAAAAAAAAGACAAAAAAGAAAAGGGAAAAATTAGGAAATAAAAATTAGGTACAATAGTTAACTCAACAAACCTCACTAACATGAGCAACGAAAAAAACTTATGGACTAAAAAAAAAAACATAAAATATAACATTTTGCATAAATTAGGTACATAGCTGAGAACCATCATTATCATTAAGGAATCAAATATTGAAAAATGGGTCAAATGAGAAATTAAAAAGAAACTAAATGAGAAACACTTATCTCTAATTGCCATCCAAAATCTATTTGAACACCAATGAAGCATATTACTCCAAACAGAAATTAATAACAAACAAACAAAGAATTTGGTTGAGATAGAACCCTATATTAAGAATAAATCATAAAAAAAAGTATTTGATGAAAAATTTGATAAGATAGTAATGATTAACTTAACTTTTGACCTTACAACTGTTAACCCACAACATAGACAATCTCTAAAAAGCAATACACACTACAACATGATTAACCATGATTGAAGAAGTAATTTGTCATTAAACAAAGCCCACAATTCAAAACAGAGGTAACTGGAGCTTATTGTCACTCGAATGTGAGTTAATTTAATGCTTGAAAATAGCAATGATATTGTTTGTTTGGCTCACCTAGATTTCTCTTAATCTTGCTTTTTGGAAGAGACCTCTGTAGTCATACCTTAAGATTTGTAATCTTTATTTTTGTCTTGCTAGCTGGAATTGGTGACTTCTAAAGTTTGAATTGGGTAATTTTATTGCCATCATAGCTACAACAACATTACAAATGTCAAAGTGCAAAATATGTGGAAGAAAATAAGAATGACGTGGTTAATTCTTAACCACACCATACATAAGTAACTTTCACAAAGAAGCCATTTTCCTTGACTTTATGGGGAAAAAAAATTAGAAAACTCAATCATCGCCACTTATACAATTGGTTAAGAGGATCTTAAGGAAAAAGACTAAAAAAGGACTAAAATGAAAGCAAAACAAAAACAAGGATGAAAAAAGCCAAAAGAAAATTAACTAAAGATCAAAAAACGGGGCTTAGCTACGAGTAAAACATTATTCTCTTTTAGTATATGTTATAATATAATATTTGGATGTACGGCTAACTATCCTCTTAGCAGGAAAATTTATTTTGGCTTTTCGATCAAAGTTTAAACCCCGATCTCTCATCATGAGACGAAAGGAAAAATGAGTGGAAAAATGTCATCTTCCAAATTTGCGGTTATGCTCTGCTTGGTTAGCGAGGAATCCTTCAACTCGCTTGGTTAGATCCTAGGCCTTTTATCTTGCAAAGAAAAGGGAAATTAACCAATTAAAATAGCCGAGCAAGAAAACTTTTATGGTCCGTTTTCCAGATCTCGTCACTTCAAGAAAAATAGATAGTAGAAAGTTATATGGAAGGGCATAAACGGATGTTTCAAATGACAAGGCATGTAATAGAGGTAAGAGAAATTTTGCAAAGAATGTGGAGGGCGATCTTGATGAGGAGTTAAGGTTTTTTATCCTCTTATTCCATGTTTCATTAGCAATAAATGATAAATCTTCTCAAAGCCGATATTTGAGCATATGAGTAGTTGATACTTCATACTTTATAGGTTTTGCATGTTGTTGTAGGCGCCTCTCTTTGCGAAATGTTTCGATTGTCGATTCGATCAAAGATCTCAAGTCTTTCACTTTGAGACGGAATGGAAAAACGAGTTGAAATCTCATCTTCCAAATTTATAGTTGTGTTGTTGAGTTAGCGAGTCTTTTGATAAGCTCATTGGCCTTTCAACTTGGACAATGAGAAATCAAACTTGTGAAATAGTCGACAAGAGAACTTATCAATGAAAGTCAAGAGAAACGAGTGCCCAAATGGAGTGCCAAGTTTGTAAAATAGTTGCATGCCACTCCTTTCGGCTATGTCACTTTAGAAAAACAACGTAGAAATGCGGTCTTAATTTGTGAGTGGCGGGAAAATTCAAACTTTGAAGGCTTTTCAAGAATAGAATGTTGAACCTTCTATTTCCTTGATCGACTGCATCCTTTCTGTCAAGAAAACATTCACCTATCTTAAAAGACTTGTCAAAAAAGAAACTATTTTAAGTCCGCATAGCAAGTTAACGATAATAGTGTCACCGGCCATGTTACAAAAGCTTATTGAGCTTACAAAATAATACTTGCATGTGCTAGTATATATATTTGTAAGTCGGTAAAACATTCTAGAATTAAATAACACAATGATATATAGATATAATGAAAACCCCGGCTAACCGCATATGTTTCCAACATATTCTATGCATTTTTTAATGCAAAAAGGCTTCAAATTAAAGATTACAAATGTAGAAGTAGTAGTTTATCTAAAGAGAATTTTGAGATCTTCAATCCTAATGGATCCGACTTCCTCGTTGATGAGGGCACCGAAAATCAATCTCCGGTTCTTTACCCGAACTTGTTGCGGACGTTCTTCAACTATGTCCTATCACATTGGCCGGTGGCAAAACTTTTGTTAGTAGCAAAAAGAGTGGCAAAGATAAGAATTTGTGAACACGAGAAGCAAGATGATACTTGATACCCGTTAGTGGATCTATTTGATAATCAAACTCCGAGCTAATTCAATTAAATGGTTGCCAAAGTTCGTCTAAGTACTTGGTAATGAACTACTCATGTAACACCCCTACTTTGGTTCACTCTCTATTACCTAAATGAGAGTAACTAAGCGAGGCGCATCATGCTAACACGACTAGTCTTCGAATTAACCTTAGACACGTATGTGCTCATATGTTAAGGATTTATCATACCATGAAACGTGTACAAAATAATTACATAATATTAACAATACAAGTGGAAAAAATTATAAAATTTATTTACAACACCATCAAAATGTTTCTCGATACTCCAATCCCAAAATTTACAAACAAAATAAATTCCTTTAAGGTTTATGTCACCCCCGAGCCCTTTTGGAGGATCCGATAACGTCTTTATTGGTACTACGGTCATCATTAACTCGTCATAATATGCAAATAACAATGAGGTAAGCCGAAGCTCGGTAAGTGGAGTGATACACGTGATATGCAATGCTTTTCGGCTTCCTACCATACTCATTAATTTTAAATTCAAGGTTCCCTGGATATTAACGGTCTACTCTATAGGTGATTGCCAAATCACCAAATGCTAACAATGAAATTATCCTTCGTTGTAGCCACTGCTAACGGGAATCCATCGCCTAACAATGTAGACGCATAGCTTAGAGTACGCACATAGCTGGATCGTTAATACTTTTTTTCTTCGATTATGTTACCACTCCTATCCATACACATCACTTTTCAATCATTTGATTCTTTCTCAATTCATCTCCACCAATGCACGTGATGCCATGTTACTATGTTTAACTTATTACGAGTATTGAACCTATACTATCAATTCGTTCTTCACTTGACGTATGTAATTAGTAGCATTTTAAACCAATTTAAAACATACTAAGGTAACAATTTCTCTCCGAACCCAAATTGAGGCATTTCAAGTTGAATTGGGCTTTTAAATGTTCTAGGTCAAAATTTCGATTTACCTAGCAAATTATTTTTTTCTTGTCTAAATGTCCTCTTATACTTATTAAGGTGTACTCAAACCATTAATTATGGAATTGAAGGATTGGAATCCAAATCCCCACAGTTTGGTTTAAGTCGAATAGGTCCTTAAAGTGATCAAATATTACTTTTTCATCATAACTTACTAATGTATACCTAATTAAATTATACTTAAGTCCTATGCCCTTAATTTCATAAAATGGGTCCAATCTTATTTATTTTCTTACTTAGGCTGAAAGGGTTCTTGAGTGAAATCCTAAGAATTCATTTTTCCCTTCTTTTCAATTTGTGATTTATTATAGAGCGACCTCTAATCAAGTAGCCAACGTACCAATTTCTGAACATAATTAAATCCCATCCTTTTTTATTAGAAATTAAACATATTAATGTATAACATATCCAAAAATTAAGTTTAAATACCAAACACACAATTCATAACATCATTTTGAAGTTAAGATTCAATCATCCATGCAGTAGTTCATCCAACACGATCCGTACTAAAATGGGCATAACTTTTTTTATATAAATCTAATAATAAAAATATTTTACATTCAAGATATAGATAAAAAAAATTTATTCTTTAAGGTTCACCCGAAAAGCACCCGAAGGTCCTCGAACAAGCAACACCAATTTCGGATAGAAACTAATCTTTAATAACACCGATTGAACCATGTAATCCAACCCACATTAACCATGTTTTAGTTCAATTAAATTTCAGTCCAAGTCCAATCCGACTCATCATCACATACTTGGACATGCACTAAGCATTATAAACATCACAATTCATCACCTACACAACATCCACAAGTAGAGCAAGCCAAGACATCAAACAACCATCAACACAAACCAAGCTTAACAATACATCAAACGACTCAACCAATATATAACTCAAACACATAAAAATGGATATGTAAAAGCATAAATAAACCAAAGAAACCCACTTACTTAGCTTAGGTATTGTTAGAATTCCCTTGACTTTACCTTCTTTCTTTTCCTTTTGCTTTCTCTCTTTCTTGTCGTTTTTTCTCTCTCCCAATTTGGTGGTTTTGGTTTGCTAAAAATTCTCACCAGCTTAATACTATATATATATATACTTACTTTCCCTTTTTAAATGAATTAAGTTACAAGTGTTGAAAATTCATGGGACAAGGTGTAAAAGTTATGGTGAGTCATGTAAGAGGTGGCGGGTTTGGGATAAAAAATGAGTGAGTTGGCTATTAATTCATTTAATGCATTGCTTAGGTGTCTAACTAAAAATTTAGGTTAACTATACACCTTAATTAACTTGGTTAAAGTAAATAAACATAGTTTCCTTCATGAAATTTCGAAAATTTCTTTTTTTAAAACTCGAAAATTCCTTATCCATTCTTTTTCTAAAAATTCCAGCGAGTGATGCTTCAAAACCAGCCTATACTAAAATGACTATAACTCTTTATATATTGGTCTAAAAATCATGAAATTTTACAAAGAGCTAGTAGACACATATATGAATAACGTTTATTCTTTGAGTTTTACTCAAAAATCACTCTAAGATCCTTAAATAAATCACTTAAAATTCAGACAGAATATAGTCCTCAACACACTCGATTTTGCATATTTGATTTCTTAAATAATTAAACCATTAATCTCAAGCATAATAACTTTAATTTAACATAAATCGCACATTTCAAGCATCAATTTCTCACAGTATACTAAGAATTATACTTACACTTAATACATACACATATATATAAATATTCTAATACGTGTCGTTTTACGATTAAAGATATATATATATATATATATATATATATATATATATATATATATATATATATATATATATATATATATATATAGGGGTTACAACTCGGTTACGGAACATCACGAGTTCATAATAGTAACTCGTAGTTCTTTCTAGAGTAATAATACGATCTCGGTAGCCTCAACAAACAATTGAAAATGCCTCCATCGAGTGCTCGAGAATCCGTAGATGTCCGGACTTTGCCAATTGTTACACCTAGGCCTTCTCTTGAGTTCAATATCCTTTGTCCATTACACTAAACCTTTAATCCAAGTTTTCTTCTAGGTGAATTTACACAAGCCTATTCGGATATACACACTTATGGGTCAAAACTCTACAAACCCACTAATGGGGCTCATGACACACGAGAACTCGAAAAAATCTTTGGGTTAAATGCGATACTCGGGAAGATTTGACTTGGTAGCTCGAAACAAGGCTGGTTAGGGGTGGTCTATGGTCACTCTTAACCTTTCTTAATAAGATTTAGGGAGTTTATTCATATATCCCTTATGAACATGTGACACTTATTTGACCTTTAATACATTAAACATTTGTTATAACCCTAGCGAGTCAAGTATTACGACCTATATCTATAAATACCCCATCCATCAATTAATTTTAAAACTTTTGTACCATTCAATTCCTCCTCGAGAGTTTCTCTTTCTAGCCTCACACTTTCTCTCACTACATTATGATACTCCCCATACCCTTAAGATATGCTCTTTTGTTTTTGGAAAGTAGCACACAATCACTATCCGCTTTATAAAATATTTCCAAATCCCTCCATCCGCCACGATGTCCTCTCATTAAGATTGCCTACTCTCCTCCCAAACCTCTTTATAGTATATACTATATCTCTATATTGTTAATATACAACACTACCTCACCCACTAAAAAACCCCGTATCTACATAATCAAACTACGAGAAGGTTTTTTTTTAATCTTTTTGGTCGTTCTAAAGCTTTAGCCTTTCTTCAACTAGGTTTAGATTACTCTCACTTTGCCCCAATGGTTTTCTTGTTCCGAATAATGCTTGGCCTAAATTACTTTCCTTGGGTTCCTAAACTAAATCAATCTAACCAATATAAATTTAACCGAGTCACATGATTTGGGCCAAATCTTCACATATTCCAACTAGAACTTTGACATGACAAAGAACCCGAAGTAAAGCAAGAAAAATAATCTAACCTCAACAATGAATCATCTAACAAAAATTGTTTGCTTCGTCCTATCCGATGGATTCTCATTATTGCTTGCTCCTCGACCGCAAGATTCCACCATGGATCTTAGATATTTTAAAATAACGGATGTTAAGATAAAGGCGAAAAACTCTTTCCTTAGAAGAGAGAAATGAAAGGTGATATAAAAATATACCATTAAGAAAACATTCGAGGTCTGCAGTAAGATTTAGGCTTACACCATCGGCTTTTAGAGATATCAATAATACCCGAGACATAAGAGTTAGGTATGACAATAATTAGTTAAGAAAATTATTTAACCACCAAGAACTCGCAAAGCCATCAAAATTCTTAAAGGTAATTAATTAGCCCGTGCACTTGAAACTCGCTTACCATTTTTCCCCTACTTTCATTAAACTCCTTCAAAGTCCTCTCTTCTCGCTTCGTGCAAATTTTCCATCAAACCTTAAAAACCCAATTCCTCTCCTTTTTAATGGGATCTCTGAAGATCCAAAAATGAAGTCCATCGGCTAAAAACAATGCTCTTTTCACCGCAGACCGACTTGCGGATATGTTCTAAGCATTCCATGAGCTTGAAAACCTTTGATGACTCCTTTTAGTCATTCTCAACATCAACTCGGAACTTACTCTCTGTTTGGTATGTTATAAGGTCATTTCCTTGTAGTTGTGTTTGACGGATTGGGCATATCCCGGATATTGGTGTCCGTCGGCAAGAGATGAGACATTCCCCGTATATCCAATGTGTACATGATGTGAGCAAGGGGTCATTTGCGGACTCCATGCATATGGACACTCGCATTTTCTCCCTCCGGATGCCCTCAACAACCTCTTCAATGTATGCCAAAGTGGGGGCTAACCGCCTTATGGTGGCGGAATTAATATGGTGGATGGCCTCAACAACATCTTCAATGCATGCTTGGGTGGCAAATGACTACCTCGGAGTGGAAGAATCAGCATTTGTTTCCACGAACCTTCTTGCATATTTGTTCAATTTCACATACTCGTTACGAATCAGCTCGACCGCACATTCACCAATTAGATTAAAAAAAAACTTTTCCTTTTTCCTAACAAATGAAAATATATTCAACTCTATTCAACCTCAAAATGAGAAATGGGTGGTTGCAACATCGCCTCGATCATAGCAGTAACTCAAGAACATATGCATAGTTGTGTATAACCTTGCTTTGAGTAACAAACTCATCAAATTGGGCATGTTCATATTTAAACAATTACATTATCAATTGAACTCTATTCCCATCATATATTCAATATAATTATTGATCCAAGATGGAAGGTGACAATAAATAATGCTTACTTTTGATCTTTTAAAAAGGACATCATAAAATTCATTTTCGAGCTTTCGATTGTTCACACTTGCGTATTTGAATATCGGTTAGAGGAAGAACAAGTATGGGCCTAATTCAAATGCATCAACATTAGAATGATTAAAAAGGATTTTGCTTGCAGTTTAAAAAACTCGGAAAAGAAAGGTTGAAGGAACAAATGTGAACCTTCCCTCCTTATCCTTTGTGTCCTTAGTCCTTCTCAACATTAGTGGCCTCAAAATAGACTTGATCAACTTCAAGGCTCTTGGGTTTCCATTTTTATGTGGTATTTGAACTAATTTGCTTCACCTATTCCAAAGTCGAATGCATTATGGACAAAGACGTGGAGGACTAATTCTAGAACAAATGTAGAGCAACCGATAGTCTAGGTAAACTTCAAAATTTTATCATGTTTTACACCAAAAAATAAGAGGCAATGAGCATGTGTATTCCTACCATGTCCAAGTTATACCAAGGCTTAACATGCAAGAAGCATAAAAGGTCGTACAGGTCTTCCAAGGTATTCTGCAAAAATTGATGTAAGAATTTGCTAATTGCTCAAGCAATAGGCATCCATTTTCTCAATATCCAAGACTCCAAAACGCAAGTAACTTGTTGAAAGAAAAATAGTAATCCTCAAAAATAGCTATTTAGAAAGGATCGGATAAAGTGAAAGGAAAAACATATAGCGAGTTCGGTATCCTGTCTCTCAACAATTATAGAGAAAAATGTACATTAGTGAATAAGGAAATAGACCCGAATAGGTGTCCCGGTAACACACCACCTACAATGTGACGACAACGTAAATGTAGCCTTAGCAGCCTAAGGTCTTCCAAGACTTAATGGTATGAGTTTCATCTAGCACCACTTTATGCCACTATACCCTATGAAAAATGTTGTTCTCCATATCCCGTATGAGATTAAAAGAAGTTGAAGTTGGGAGAGAAACTAAAAGAACAATTACAAAAAGAAAGATAAGAATAGTTGTTAAACTACAACTTAATAATTTGATTCTCTTAGTATCCATATGAAAATAAATGAAAGATAGCATGTTCTTACATGCTTGTAAGCTTCAGTTAGGACCCCATATGTTGCCAAGACCACGTCATATCCAGATATAACCTTTGGCTTATTTATTTTGTACCCATCATAATGAACAAAAATGGAAATGCTTCCCGACTTTGAATGAGTTTCGAGATCATCCTAGCAAAAAGGACCTAATAAGATATAGAGTAAACTACATAAAAGAATAACAACATTCCCGTGAAGTAACATACAACGAATCGTTTAATTAATTGAAGCATTATAGGTAATTATTTTTCTCCTTCTACATTGTGGCGCCATAGTTCGAAACATCCTACCTCGTACATGAGAGACTAGAAAAGAGACAAGGATACTATACATGATTACTTTCACTACCTTAGAACATGAGAGAAAAAAATCACCTTCCACTAGCCTAGCAAAGCCATGGGACGGATAATAAAAGTGTCACCTTTTGCTGTAGGCATGGTGTTTATGTGGGGATCTTTCATTTTGTTTGCTATTTATTAGCAATCCGAGCTTCCTTTGCTCGGTCTTGTTAGTATTAGAGCAATTGTCATCATTGTCTTTCCAAGACCCATTGCATCTACTAGTATCCGCAAAGGCACTTGTCAAGTTAAACAACAACGACTCACCTCAAGAAAATGCACATGCAATGTGTAACCCACGTGCTTATGGAAGGGAAAATTATAAGAGTACACAAGTTGAATTCAACACAATATGATAACACCAAGACATATTGACTCGAAAATGAATTGGACAACTTACAAACTCACTCCCCCTCTTGTCATCCGTGTCTGCGAGTTAGAAATTGAGTAGTGGCTTCCCCGTAAAAAAAAATGTTTAAATAAATGCTTGGACGATGAAGCCCTCCCGCATCAAAGCATTTTTGGTCAAGTTTCATAATGTTAGCATGAGAAGCATACACATCATTTGTTATAAACTACTTACTTATCGGATATATGATAAGTCGCCCAATATGGATTAAGAGTTTCTGCTGCTTTCTCGCCTTTAGTTCCTTTCTCCGATTCGGACATCCAGTAGAGATCTTGTTTCGATAAGGCTTCGGATTACACGTTAAGGTCCATGAAGGCTTCATCTCTTGCACGATTAAAAGAAAAAGATTAGATAAAGTTGATAGAGATGAGATGTAAAGCTATATATCAACTTAATCCTAGAAATAGGAGATTTAAACCTTTTACCTCCAAGTCATATGTATCTACGACACCAACAAGTTTATTCAAAGATGGTTCGGTAAAAGCTTATTCATTGAGAAAAATAATTAATCACATCGAATAAGAATTAAAATCCTCCATCCCTAACTTAATATTTTATTTCTCCATCAAGAAATTTATTAGATCTAAAAATAAAATATCATATCGATAATCCATCAAAGTAATAATTAAAGAAAATTCAATTACTTGTCTAATGAATCTGTATTTTTTTCTTCCAACTGCCGCTCCAATTTTCTTCTTTTCTCCGGCCGTCCAAAATCCCCCTTCTACAGTGCAAGTGCCAAGCCTTATATACCAAATTTTTTTACCGCCATGCAAAACTCTTTTTTTCTTTTTAATGCCGTGCAACTCTACTTACTTTGCTTATTTTTCTCTCCATATCATCCTCCAGTCCTTCACTATGCCTATAACTCTTTCTTTTACTGCCATAGACTCCTTTTCTAGTCCACCACGTCACTTTCCTTTTAGTTTTACATTGCCATGCTTTAAGTCAACCTTATCATGCTTATCACCTTTTCCTTTATACTACAATCTCCTTCTTTTTTGTCAAGCACGTAAGTCTCCTCCAGAATGTGATGAATTGATTTTTTTAAGGTGTCTAAGTCAAACACTTTTTTCTTCTTTACTCTTTAATCCTTACTTTTGATTTTTACTTTCATTTCGATCCTTGTTTTTGCTTTACTTCTTAGTCTTCTCTTTAATCTTTATACCTACAAATTCAAAGCATATGAGGATTAATTTATATCAAATAAAACATAAATCACATGCATAATTAACGAATTCAAGCTCCATGTTTACATAAAATATATGTATAAATTATACTTATCAAATTCCCCCACACTTGATCTTTTGCACGTCCTCGGCAAAACAAACTAAACTAACTATATGAAATTAAATACATTCTAACTCACTTTCATAGGAATCACGATTGCATTTATCATATGTAACAAGCCTTTAAACCTCTAGGTCACCCCTAGTGGACGAGTTATGTCTCGTGAGGGTTTTCGTAAGATATACCCATAAAATCTTTGTATAAATTTTATACATGTATAAACACTCTTCAATGCTATCACAATTTGGAAAGTCATAAACACGAAGGCAATAAAAATCTTCAAGATTGATAACACATCATGAATCAATTATCTCAATAACCTAAAAACCAATCAATATTGCAATTTCTTTCAAAACAAAGTAAACTAAATTGGTAGACCCTCACAAGATAATTCTCCAACTCTCAAGTGTTTAGGCAAGTATTTCACTCAACTTCATTCCATAACTTTGTACTACCATAGGCTTGCTTATCATCTCAACTCTCCACTACTTAGATCACATGCATAACACAAATCAAAAGGACTTTTCAATAGGTTATAATGTGGCTAAGGAAAGGTAAGGAATTTTTATGATATGAGATTATGAAACCAAAGAAATTAATAGAGCATTTGACTAATAACTTGGGTAAATAAAACCAAGTAGGACCCCCAAAACCTATTGTCCAAAATTCAAACACTCAGCAACTTCCTCATACTTTCTTCCCATCTCTCAAGCACATGAACATCATCACACATTTTCTTTAGATATAACATGGACAAGCATGACACATATTTATTTTTTCTCTTTTTTTTTTTTTTTTTTGGCTCAAATAGTTGTTCCCGTATTTCCAGAACAGTCCGAGTATTGCCATTGGTCGAAACCATATCTTCACTGATCAAAAAATTCTGAAAATTTACTAGAAATTGAATAAGGTCTAAAAGAAGCTACTGTCCAAAAATCAGCCCAATCCGACATTGTTTGATCCCTCTGATACTTTGTTCAAGTTCGGATTTCATGTCATGTTTTTCCATAAAACTTTTCTCATGAAGTTCATGTCTTAAGTAGAAAATAATAAACCTCCACCTCCATCTTTTCCAAACAATTCAACCAAAACAACTAACCTATTCTTCTTTGACTCTATACCCCCACACTTGTTCAAAAACCCATCCTACTTAGTAATTCAAATGCTCTACTAATACTTAAGGTAAGGTAAGACGTTTATTTTCAAGTTAAAGGCTTGTAATAGATTTAAAAACAAGAAAGGTCAAGCTCAAGGAGGCTCATCAATGTTTAATTATATGGTAGGTTTTTTTAGGCTAAAATGGCTACTTCAAAGATGGCTTTTATCATATTTATGGATGCATGTGTCAATATAATCTCAAGAAGAATCAAAGTAAGTTCTAGAGTAACAGATCCATGGAATATCACACACAAGAAGTAGAGATTGATGTTAATGTTCAATCTTATAGGCTCAAAATCTCACAGAGTTATGTCTACCAAATTCAATTACTACTATTCTTAAATCAATCACTATATTAATCAATCTCAAGTTGCAAGTCAATTTATTCAATCATATTATGCAACTTTAAAACTCAATTGACTTTTGCTCATTACTTACACAAATCTTGACATCATTAAAAAGTACCTAACACACAATGAATCTTTTTTTTTTTTTTTTAGTTTTTTTTTCATACTTATAAAAGAGATATCAAAAGAAAACTAACTAAAATTTGACCAAAAATTAAAAATCCGAAATTCCCCCCACACTTTTACTTTACATTGTCCCCAATGTAATGCACAAAATCAACAAATCATGGACGTATAAAATTAAAAATAGAAAGGGTTAGAAAACAAATCTGGTGATGGCCGACTATCCATTCTTGGGTTGCCTCCCAAAAAGTGCTCGTTGTTTAACGTTGTTCGCTCGACTTTCGACTCGCTTAAGGATCCCTTAAGAGTAAATTTTTTGTCCCAATCAAGAAATTGAACTTCTCTCGTATAAAGTTTGAGTCTATGCCCATTAACTTTGAAGGCTTCTTTGTTCCCTTAAGAAATCTCTACAGACTCCATGAGGAAACACTTTCTTAATCACATAAGGACCACTCCACCTTGATTTCAGCTTTCCAGAAACAACTTCAACCTAGAATCGAAAAGGAGGACTTTGTCACCTACTCGAACTCCTTAGGATTGATGTGAGCATCATGCCACACTTTTGTTTTTTCTTTATACATCTTGGAGTTCTCATAAGCTTGATGTCGCCATTCCTCTAACTCATTCAACTCGAAGAAGCCTTTCCTTTCCCGCAGACTTGTAAATTAAAGTTTAACAATTTCACGAACTCAATATGCTTTGTGTTCAAGTTCCACCGATAAATGACAAGCTTTACCAAAAACCAAACTATATGGCGAAATTCCAATAGGAGTCTTGAATGTTGTCCTATAAGCCCAAAGTGCATCATCTAATTTAAGTGACCAATCCTTCCTAGACATATGGATAGTTTTTTCTAAAATTCTCTTCAATTCCCTATTAGAGACCTCTACTTGTCCACTAGTTTGTGGGTGATAAGGAGTAGCAATCTTGTGAGTGACACTATACTTAAACAACAAACCATCAAATTGTTTATTCTTAAAGTGTGTGCCTTCATCACTAATGATAGCCCTAGGTGTGCCAAATCTAGTGAAACTATTTTTCTTTAAGAATTTGACTACGACTTTAACATCATTAGTAAGACTCACAATAACTTCTACCCATTTACTCACATAATCCACAGCAACGAATATGTATAAATTATTGAAAGAACTTGGAAAAGGACCCATAAAATCAATACCCCAAACGTCAAAGATATCACAAACTAGAATATTATTTAAGGGCATTTCATTTTGTCTAGATATATTACTCGATCGTTGACATTTGTCACATGCACTTACATAATCGTGGCAATCTTTGAATAGTGTGGGCCAATAAAATCCACATTAAAGCACCTTTTGAGCGGTCCTTGTTGCTCCATGATGTCCACCTGCTTCCTTATCATGGCAAAAACCGAGAATACTCGTCATTTCTTCTCTTGGTACACATCGTCGAATCATACCATCATTGCATTCCTTGTAAAGATTAGGCTCATCTCATAAATAATGCTTAACATTTGACAAAAACTTCTTTTTTCGATGGAAAGACAAGGTTAGAAGGCAAAATATCACATGCAAGATAGTTCACAAAATCAAGCATACCAAGGTAAAGACAATGCCTTAATGAAGCACAAACTTTCATATGGGAATTCATCATGCAAAGGTTTATCAATCATTGATTCTACATGTTCCCCATCTAATCTAGACAAATGATCAACTACCGAATTTTCAATGCCTTTTTTATCCCTAATCTCTAAGTCAAATTCTTGAAGCAATAAAATCCATCTAAGCAACCTAGGTTTAGACTCTTTCTTAGCAAGAAAATATTTCAATGCTTGAATGATCGGTGAATACAATAACCCTAGATAAAAGAAGATAAGATCTAAACTTTTCAAACGCAAATATAACAAGCAAGTAGTTCATTTTCAGTTGTGGTATACCTTCTTTGTGCTTCATTCATTGTCCTACTTGCATAATAAATGGTGTGAAATTTTTTATCTTTTCTTTGTCCTAAAACAAGCACCCAAATTATCTTCACTCGCATCACACATAATTTCGAAAGGCAAGTCCCAACAAGGAGCAACAACAATAGGAGCATGAGTCAATTTGTCTTTCAAGCAATTAAAGGCATGCATGCAATCATCATCAATCACAAAAGGCACATCTTTCTCTAACAAGTGTGTTAAAGGTTTGACAATTTTAGAAAAATCCTTAATGAATCGTCTATAAAAGCCAAGCATGTCCTAAAAACCCTCTAACATCTTTTAGAGACTTAGGAGGTGGAAGTTTTTCAATCAATTCAATTTTTGCTCAATCCACTTCAATACCCTTAGAGGATACCTTGTGACCTAGCACTATGCCTTCTCTAACCATGAAATGACATTTTTCTCAATTAAGCACAAGATTCGTTTCCTCACATCTCTTAAACA